ACCGAAGGGCAGGCTAATTGAGCTGTTGTCAGTTCTCACCTCTCTTGCTACATATTTTTCTCTGCTTATTTCAACTACTGCATAAATGCAAACCATTTCTTAAAGAAGACACCCAGGCTATTTTAAAAGGCATATTTTTAACCTTTGCGTAGAATAATCTGTTTGCTAGCTTATACCAAGTGTAGTGGGAAATAACCTTTTTCTGCCTTTTTGACACATGTAGTGAGTTTATATTGTATATTTTGCAAACCTTATATGTGATACGGCTGTATAATACTTCATATGTTGCTCAACTATGTCGCCTAAGTACATAAATACCCCTGTATGTACCTTTGCCAGGTGTATGTGGACGTTGAAGGGGCACATTTGAGACACAAACATTCCAGTTTTTTTTTTTTTCAAGCGTTGAATTTTTGCTCTGGGTCCATGTCCTATTTTGGAGTATGTTAGCAAGTTGCTTATTCCAACTACCCACACAGGAATGCCATTTCTTAAAGAAGACACCCCTGGGTGTTTCAAAAGGCATACTTTGATCCTTAGCGTGGAATTATTTTTTCACTAGCTTGTACAAAGCGTAGAGGTCATAGGCATTTTACCTTTTTTTTTACTTTTTTTTTACTCTGTAAAACTTTTTTTTTATAACTATTTTCAGATTTAAACTTTTTTTTTTTTAACCAGAGAAAAAAGATTACCAAGCAGTGAGTCAGAATACAGAAAACTTTCCCACTACTTGATATAAGTGCAGCCCTAAAGTGTAAAATTTATATAATATTGATTGTGAGGGGTAAGTGTACAACTTGTATCACTATTATATAAATTTTACACTTTTGCGCTGCACTTATATCAAGTAGTGGGAAAGTTTTCTGTATTCTGACTCACTGCTTGGTAATCTGTGTTTTCTCTGGTTTAAAAAAAAGTTTTAAAAAATTTGAATCTGAAAATAGTTATAAAAAATAAAGTTTTACACTTAAAAGAATAGTTTTAAAAAAAAAAAGGTAAAATGCCCTCTATGCTTTTTTACAAGCTAGTGAAAAAATAATTCCATGCTAAGGATCAAAGTATGCCTCCCGCGGGTGTCTTCTTTAAGAAATGGCATGCCTGTGTGGGGTAGTTGGAATAAGCAACCTGCTAACATACTCCAAAATAGGACATGGACCCAGAGCAAAAATTCAACGTTTGAAAAAAACCTGGAATGGTTGTGTCTCAAATGTGCCCTTTCAACGTCCACATACACCTGGCAAAGGTGACAGTCCCTGCAGCACGTGTGATCACTCTGGCAGGATGTCAGAGCAATCACATGAACTGAGGCCGTGTGGTTGGCCATAGCATTAACCCCATGGTTGCCGCAAATGCAGCGATTTGGGGTTAATTTTAGTAAATGAAAGAAATTTTCCGTCATATGTCCTGAAGAGTAAAAAATTTCCATCTTGCATCGCAAAGAGGTTAAGTGAGTAAGAAAACAAATTTGACAGAAATTGTTGGTAAAAAATATTGAAGCAGCTCATTTGAATTACCCTAGGCCTATCTACTATTTAAAGAATTTTTTTTTTTCCTCCAGTTAAGTCATTGGTCCTTGTAATGTCACAAACTGCCATAATAATGAACAAGATATTGGTGCTAAAAACTATAAACACCACAACCTAAAACACACTTAATGTTGGAAATTTGGCTTTACACTACAATTAAATAACACTACAGTATTCGGAATACAGTATTCATGTTACTACTTTTAAGTTTCAGTGCCCCACCAACCTAAAAAAAATAAAAATAAATTGAAAATAAATTATTAACTCAACTTCTTTTCAGTACTGAGTCTCCCTCGGCACTACCTCAGCCTTCTCCAAGCATGATGTCATCCTGGAGGCATGCCTCCAGGATGAGGTCTAATCCAGTGCTCCTCAGAGGAGCAATGGGGACTATAGGTGCATTAGCAGCACTCACCACAATGTGCTTATGATTCTATTATAGTATACTACTGTGTATGCCTACATGCCGTCTCAGTATGTTAGGGTATTTCAGCCAGTAAGCACAGTTCTTGAGAGCCTGAAGGCATGGCTTGAAGCTGTGCTTCTAAGCCTTCTAATTTTTTTATTTTTTATTATTTATTACTGGTATTTATAAAGCGCCAACAGATTCCGCAGCGCTGTACAATTAGTGGAGGACGTACAATATACACAGACCAATACAAAAGGTAGAGAAGGCCCTGCCCGTAAGCGGATATCTAGCCATTGAAGCTCTCCTATACAAAGTGCTTAGCTAAATTGCCCGTGAGGTTTACTACAATATTTAGATTTGGGGCCACTAGGGAGGAGGGGAACAACTGTAGGCACTAGAACAACCTCATCTGACTGATGTTGTTATAGTGAGTACAGTGTTCTTTTAATGGTTTGCTTCTCCCAGGATTTCCCAATGGTGTGCATACCTTCATTCCTCCCACTTTACAAAGAAAGTACACAGCTTACACCTACCACAGTTCCTAAATCTATTTATTAGATGGTTTTATTTATTTTAATTATCCATTTTAATGTGTGGGCATTACTAGGGACTAGTGACATCTTTAGACATTCTACTTCTGTCTTAAATGGACGTCCCTTTGTTGATACAACTACAGAGGGCATGGAGACTGATTCAGACTTTGGCACTACCACGTGGTTAGCATTAGCAACAAGCCAACACACAGCAAGGCAATGAGTCACATGGAAGATGCTTATACATGAGGATAAACCCCTTACACCTGATTGGCGTAAGACAGATTGACCTGTCAATCATATGGAAGAGAGGGGGATTTAAAGATGGTGCTTGATGCAGTTTGTTATATGCTTCTTTGCTAGATTAACTGGTTTTGTTTTTACTGCTTAAACTTCACTTTAATGTTTTTTTGTTCATTGAAGCTGGAAACCTGCTGGGATGAAACGTGTAGGTTATGGTGTTTCAGATATCTGTGAATTTGGTGAAAATATATGTGATATGCTGTGAGTACTTTTAGTTTAGTTTCATGCAAAAAAAATGTTTTTTTTATATGCTATAGTAATGTTCTGCACTATCTTCTTTTTATGTTCCATTTAAAGTATCAAATGTCAAGACCAATGCTGACTCCCCATTGGGTTATACTCCATCCAGATAGCCTGTAATCAATTTCAAAGCCTTTATTATTTTGTGACTTGAGTGTACAATTCTGCAATTTTGTAGAGTAATTATCGGAATAGTGCTCTACTATGTAGTTTTCTGTTCCTCTTTTATAGATTAGCTGCATCATATATTTGTATCTAGTTTTATACCTAGATATAGGGCCATTACTGTTCAAGAGATTTAGCTCAACACAATCATTATTTTCTTACAGTGATAATATGTATGTTAAAAAACGAAAGCTGTATCTGTGCTTTATAAAATAAACAATACGTGAGACGGTGCTGCATTGGGAAGGGGGAAAAGAATCTGAAATAAATATATACCAAAATAATTGATTTTATGCAATGTATTAAAATGTTTAATGGATTTTGTTTGTAAGAGTTAAACAAGACAATACCTACTTGTAGTAAATTTAGGAGTGATGAGATGGAATAGGGACTTTGTATACAGGGCTTATTTTCAGAGACATAGGGAGAACAGATAGCTCATGTAGCAATATGTAGCTTAGCATAAGAGGAGGCAGGCCCAGACTGGCCATCGGGCATACCAGGCAAATGCCCTGTGGGACGCAATGGCCATGGGCCGAGGCTGGCAGGGGAGATCCGGGATCCCAGGCTAAAGGTAAGAAGAGGGGGGGTGGGGAGGTACAAATTTTATTTATTTTTTTCCCCGTTTTATTTTAAATAAAAAAAATGACATTTAATATATTTACATCTCTTCCCCACACACACACACACAGCACACTCACACAAACAGCACCCTCAGACACAACACCCTCACGCACACACACACACAGCACCCTCACACACACAGCACCATCAGACACACACACACAGTGCACCCTCACACAATCACTAATAGCACACACAGCATACTCACACAGACAGCAACCTCAGAGACACACACAGCACCATCAGACACTCACACTAACAGCACACACAGCACACTTACCCATACAGCGCCCTCTCCCACACACGTATAATATATAAAATTACCCTCAGTGAGTTAACAGACAAAGAAAATTAGAAACCTAGAATGTGATGGCAGATAAGAACACCCTCACACACACAGCACCCCTCTTACACACACACAGTGAATCCTTCACACATACACACAGCAGTCCCAACACACTGTGCCCCTCACACAAACAATACGTCAAAACATATATATACTACAACACCCCTCACACTGCACCACTACACACATTATGCTCCAGATACATGCTAGATCTCTTACCCAACTCTGGATGATCTAATCTATACACATACACATACAAGATCCCTATATACACTCTGAATCCCCTACACACAAACACGATCTCCTATACACACTCGGGGTCCTTTACTCACTAGATCCCCTACACATACACACACACACACACACACTGCACCACCTACACACACTACATTCCCAACATACAAACTCATAGGATACCCTATGCACACACTACATTCCTTGTATGCAAACACATACTACAATCTCTAAGCACACACTTCCTACAACCCCTACACACACTAGAGCCTGTATGCACACACTCGCTACATCCCCAATACACTCTATGCCCCCTACACACACACACTCTCTACAGCCACTAGCCACACATTTTACACCATACAGCATACTCATACAGACAGCACCCTCAGAGACACACACAGCACCATCAGACACTCACACTAACAGCACACACAGCACACTTACCCACACAGCACCCTCACCCACACACGTATAATATATAAAATTACCCTCATTGAGTTAACAGACAAAGAAATTTAGAAACCTAGAATGTGATGGCAGATAAGAACACCCTAACACATACAGCACCACTCTTACACACACACGGTGAACCCTTCACACATACACACAGCAGTCCCAACACACTTTGCCCCTCACACAAACAATACATCCAAACATATATATATATATATATATATATATATATATATATATTTACATATATATATATATATATATATGTTTGGATGTATTGTTTGTGTGAGGGGCAAAGTGTGTTGGGACTGCTGTGTGTATGCGTGAAGGGTTCACCGTATATATATATATTACAACACCCCTCACACTGCACCACTACACACATTACGCTCAGTCTGTAGAGAACTCTATAGTCCTATGTAAGTCTAATACCGTTCTTCAAGTTACATGCTCTGGTAGAACAATTTCTCTGCTGCAAGAGGAAACACGAACTACCACACTTGTACCTGAACCAAGTGTCAAAGATTATTCAAATCAGCCGCTTAACCAAACTCCAAAGGAAGTGAGTGAAACCGAACAAGAAGGTAGCATTCACACATCTGGTACCTGTTCCCATGATGAAGGAAGCTCCTTCTATGACTCATCAGTTGCCATGATGTCTGTCACTCCACCTAAACCTCAGCAAGTATTAAGAGAAGACTTGCCTTCAGTTGAGAGTACTTCTACGTCAATTAGAGAACTACCTCAAGCTGAGCTCACAAGTGAAGAAGAGAATGATTTAAGTAACCAGGTATCTCTAGCCATTACAGAATTATATCAGTTTGAGAGAGAGTCGTCCCTGCTTCAGCTGGAACCATGCTCCGAGATATTGGGGAAGCCGTTCCTTGATGCATTTCTGCGGTCTGAGGAGGAGGGTTCTCAGAGTGCTCCTGATCCTGTACTCGTTAATCTAGGGGATTCTCCTCGATTGATTCCAGTGGTACCTACCCAAGATAACGCAGAGACTGTTCTCCCTTCTACAGAAGTTGCATCGCAGTCTTTATTCCGAGGATCTTACAAATTTAATTATTATGTATGTATGGGGCAGTGTATGTGTGTGATAAGAAGGTTAGGGGGCTTTTTTGTAATAGCACACATTGCTCCCCCCATCCCCATACACACACTGCCCCCCATACACACACAGACTGCCCCATACACACACATTGTCCTACACATACACTGCCCCCCCATACACGCACATTGCCCCACTCTCACACATACACTGCAATCCTCACACACACTGCAAATGTCACACACAAATACTGACCCACACATACACTGCACCCCTGACATATACTGCCGCCCTCACTCAAACACTGCAACCTTCACACACACACTGCACCTCTTACACATTGTACCACTCATACACACCACTACTCTTATGCCCTACTACAGCCCTATTTCACAGCAGACCTTAGGTAAGTTGTCAAACTGTTCTTAAACGGTTTGACCACTTACTCTGGGAGGGGGTCCCAAAACTATTGACACCATAACCACTACACTGAGCTGTAGTGGTTATTGTGTCTGGATTATTTATTTAAATAATCTACAAGTGCCCCTCCCGAGATCAGGCTCTGGATCCGCCACTGTGTAATGATAACCTCTAAATGGCCCAGCTGAACATCATTTCTTAATTTAGTTAACAAATTTGCCATTCTGCTGGTAACACACCACACTCAGATATATATATATATATAAATGTATTCTGTTTTTACTTACCTGCTCAAATCACACATACGTTTTGCTTAGATGACAGATTGATTAATTTCAGCAGCTACAGCGCTGTGTTTTTACTGATGCGGAAAAATATAGCTAAATTATTTCTGAATCTTCCTAACGTATTTCACAAAAATGTAGTACATATTGCAATTATGTGTATGTGTAATACTTGAACAGAAACTTGAGATAAATGTTTCCTGTCCAAGCCATAACAGCAGAGGTAAGTTCAAAATGAGTATTACATTTTGGTGATATCATAAAATATATTGCTGTAACAAAGTTTAACAAAGCACAGTAGCAATCTCAGCATAATACATTTTAATGATCCCTTTGTAGAATTTTAGGACATTGCATTAGATTTTATTTATCCGGTGCTTTTGAAAAATTCTTTATTATATTTTATATAAATTCTTCATATTTATTATTCTAATATCAACAAAGGCAATGAAAAGCATTTTGGTAACATTGGCAAACAAGATTTACAAATTAGCTTGCATCAAGACCTTCAAATTGAAGATTATGCTAGCGTTAGTGTATTTATAATCTTAATTTTAATAATGACAGGAGGCGAGTATTTTGCATAACTCTCTTTACTAAACTCCATAGCAGTAAAGAAAGTGAAAACATTTAACCAATCAAAATGCAGTAGGGAGTATAGTATTCCCAGTAAATAGGCTCCTCCTCCTCTTTCAGAAGCGACATCTTAAACAGGGAAGCAGTTCAGTGTATAAAGTCTGTAAACAAGCACCAACGGGTGAACTTCCAAGGAAGCTATGGTCATCGTGGCAGGATTAAGAAACAAGCACCACAACCAGTAAACATCCAATAACGAGCACCAAGCGGTGAACATCCAATAGGAACGATGGTCATCATGTGATGAGCAGTAATCCGAGTAATTTCCTGCAGTTGTTCCAAACTGAAATTAAACTGAAACGAGAGTGCGAAATAGGTTAGGCATTGGTCTCAAGACTGGTTGTAGCAATGATAGTGACCCATCGATTAATGTTATAATAATACTATTTACTGATTAACAATACAATGACATACTAGATTAACTGATCAAGAATAAATATGGTGGATACATATATATATGGGCTTGAGTAGAGGCAGATAGAGAAGGTACCAAGGAGAAGAAACTGTAGACATTACTATATTACAGAGGTTCCAGTCTTCCCAAGGCAAAGAAAAACCGTGAGTTTTCCTGAGAGTTGTCGGAGAGAGAGCCTGTCGTTAGTTGGCCATTCTCTCTGGAAACGGAGAACTACGTCTGCGTCCCAGAGTCGTGAATATTTGGGGCCTGGGGGTCGTTGCAGTCGAATGCCCCTTAGGAGTCAACACACCAGCAGATCTTTCCCTGCCGGGATCCCTAGTATAGGGACGTGGGCCGCTGAGATAGCGGAACGGACTACGTTAAGCAATCTGTAAGATAAATAGGAAGTTTAAAATGGCTGGAATAGAGGCCATAAGTGGATCGAGGTTCCGTTCCATGCACCAAGTGGACCAGGAATCCCAAGCAGATAGGTAGCAACTTCTGGTTCCTGGAGCCCATGAGTCCCATAGGAGGTCCCTAGCAGCCTGCGATAGTTCTCCGATTTGCCAGGCACCCCTGGAAGAGTCCAAGCCACCGGAGTGAGAGAATTGTCCAGGATGAGTGGGTGGGGGTTGCCTTTCGGATCTGTGAGAATGTACTGATGATGAGGCAGTAGGAAGGGATCCTTGTATGATAGGGCTAGGAGGTCCGGGAACCATGCTTGTCCCCTCCATAATGGAGTGATGAGCACTAGAGAGGTTTGTTGACTTCTCAAATAGTGGATGGTCCTTGCTATCATGGCAAAGGGAGGAAAGGCGTATGCTCCCGTGTTCGGCCATGGTTGTAGGAATTTGTCTACTGCCTTGCTCTCTGGGTATGGGAGCCAGCTGAAGTATACTCGTGTTTGCCTGTTGTTGTGGGATGCAAACAGATCCAGGTGAAAAGGGCCTGGATGTTCCGCTATGCAGTTGAAGATTTGTGGATCCAGTCTCCAATCGCTGGTGTCCGACCAGTGGCGTGAGAACCAGTCTGCCGTGAAGTTCGTCTCCCCTGAGAGGTATTCCGCTGTGAGGGAGATGTTGCGGGATAGACAGAAGTCGAGGATCTCCTTTGTTATTTCCGCCAGGAGACGGGAGCGGGCTCCGCCCAGGCGGTTGATGTAGCAGATACGTTGTCCATCCTGAGGAGGATGCAGCAGTCCATCTTGCCTTTTGCCAGGCTGTGGATGGCAAAGGACCCCACCAGAAGCTCTAGGTGATTTATGTGCATGTTGAGATCCTGGGAGGTGCAGGCGCCTCCTGTAGATGTACCTTCGCTTGTCGTGCCCCATCCCCAGAGGCTGGCGTCTGATTCCAGGACTATGTCGTGTGTGTTCCTGAAGATGGCTCTGCCGTTCCATGCTTCCATGTTGTCTATCCACCATCTGAGTTTGTCCCTGACCTCCTCCGTTATTGGGACCAGTTGGTCGTATGAGGGATTTTGTCTGAGAAAGGATGCTTTGAGGCGTTGCATCGCCCTGTAATGGAGTGGGCCTGGGAAGATCGCTTGTATGGAAACAGAGAGTAGTCCACTAGTCAAGCGAGGACGCCGAGTGGAATGGTGTGGCAACGAATGGCCCTGCGTAATTCTTTGAAAATGGCCGAGATCTTTGATGTCGGCAGTCGCAGCATGCTGGAGGTGTAATCTATCTCGAATGTTAGGAATTGCACCATTTGGGATGGTGAGATGGCCAATTTTTGAAAGTTCACTATGAAAGTTCACTATAAAGCCCTATGACAGGAGATCCGTAGTATAGTGTGTGTGCCATACCAGTCTGGACTTGCCAGAACAGAACAGCAGGAGGTCGTCCAGGTATATAATGCAGCGAATTCCTTGTGCTCGAAGATGAGCCACCACAGGCTTCAGTAATTTGGTAAAGCACCATGGGGCCGAACTGAGGCCAAAAGGGAGGCACGTGAATTGCCGGGGAAGGCCTTGCCAGAGGAACCTTAGGAATTGCTGGCAGGATTGGTGGACGGGTACTGATAGGTATGCGTCCTTCAAGTCTAGTCTTGTAAACCAATCTTTGTCTTGTAATAGGTCCCTCAGAAGAGGTATGCCCTCCATCTTGAAGTGCCTGTACGTGACTTATTCGTTAAGTCACCTCAAGTTTATGACAGGGCGGAAATCTCCCGTTTTCTTCTTCACCAAGAATATGTTGCTGAAGAAGCCCCGGGGACCGGAGGTTGGTTTGATTGCGCCTTTCAAATATAGTTCTTGCAACTCGTTGTTGAGATTGGTGTCTTCTGTTGAGCAGTTGATGGGATGTGGTAGTTCCCTTTGTGGTGGATGGTCTACGAAGTCGATGACGTAGACCTGTACTGTCTGTAGGATCCATGCGTCCATGAAGATGGTCGTCCATTCCTGAAAAAACAGAGAAGGTAGGGTTAAGCGGTTGCTTACCTGTGGAGAAGCGTGCCCTGCCTTGGGTACGTGGTCCACGACCTCTGTCTGCACCTCGGGAGTAGGAGGATGGT